AAAAACTCATATTTGATAAAAATTAGATATATAAAGTTCGAGATTAAGAAACCATTACGTTGACCGGAGAATAATGAAGATGAACATTTGTATGGAAAGGAGCTAAAAAAGGCAAAACTAAAAGAAAATAAAAAGAACCAAAAACCAAAAGTTAGGATTCGAACTTGGACCATTCTACCAAGCTAAAACTCACGCATGAGAGGAGCCTCCGCAGTACTGCAGTGGCTTTCATTACCAAAGTCTTTATTAATGTATAAGATACTTATAGTTAAATAAATATTTACATTTATAATTTTATATTTGACATATATATATATATATATATGGTGGGAGTTGGTGGGAGTTGAGTGGGGGCAGGTGCCCCTGCTGCCCCCACGCTGGATCCACCCCTGACCTTTGAGCTGGCGGAAAGGAACTGGTTGTGAATTACTTGATATCGAGACCGCTGCTTTGTAGGTGGTGACTGCTGTTAAGAAGGGAGGGTTTCTCTGTCAGTTTGGACGGATCATGGAGGATATTCGGACCTTGATGCAAGAAGTTAGTAGTATTTCCATTACTTTTATTAGGCAGTCAACGAATCGGGTTACTCACGAGCTTGCTCTAGCAATCGTTTCTTTATCTCATAATTAAAGTTGGTTCTTTTCGATCTCTTCCTAATCATATTGTTAAAGCTTTGAATCATGACTTAATTAATGATATATGATCGTAATGTTTGATACACTTGTTAATGATATTAGACACTAGTTTGCATGAGTACTACAACTAATCTTTTTAAACGGGATAAGGGACAGTTTGGTCCTCAAAGTTGCAAAAAAGGGGTCAAATAAGTCCTCATATAGAAAATTCTGTCCGGACGTGCCATTTGAGGTGGCTCCCGGTGGAATTTTTTGATGAAATTTTTTGAGCATCTTATTCATTAAGTCTAGTTTACTCATACCAAATTTCAAATAAAAATTCAATCGGGAAGACATTCAAATGAATTCTTGAAGATAACTGTGCCGTTAAAAGCGCAGTTATCTTCAAGAATTCATTTGAATGTCTCCCCGATTGAATTGTTAGCTGAAATTTGGTATGAGTAAACTAGACTTAATGAATAAGATGCTCAAAAAATTTCATCAAAAAATTCTATCGGGAGCCACCTCAAATGGCACGTCCGGACAGAATCTTCTATATAAGGACTTATTTGACCCTTTTTTGCAACTTCGAGGACCAAACTGACCCTTCACTCCTTTTTAAACTAATCTGAAGTATTATAGTCAACCTCACTTAGGAACACAACGTTCTTGTTGCGGTCATTAACCAATCTCAATCAAGCTCCGGAATCCCCCTCTACCAACTGCATGTCTGATATCCATCATATCAGCACACCCGAACCCCGTAGGGTCCAAGGGCATTACTCCTGAATGTCATCAAGACTACTCATGTGGACCTTCTTCCTTTTAAGCTAAACTCAAGTATTATAGATATAGAGGCCGTTTGACAACAATGTTTTTCGGTTGATCAGGCTTATCAGCCAATTTTTTTACTAAACACGTAACTTTTGCTTTCGCGTGCTGAATTGTGTAATAAGCAGAAAAGGTAAGATTGTAGTTACTTTTCTGACTGTATTGGCTAAAGTTACTGTAGATGACCATTTTAGCTATTTTTACATATAATGTTTTCTTTATTTTATTAATAAAATATATTTTAATTTTTTTCTTCTTAAATCAGCAGAATTAGCCTATGCAGCCACTTCAGCCAGAACTTCATAAATCTCAGCAGAATCAGCCGATTTTCGTGCTACCAAACAGACTCTATTTTTTATAATGAACTTTTATATATACTTTAAATGCATGTGATAGTACACCGTTTCTTTTTTTAAATGAGTTAGTACACCGTTGTTGCATATCTATTTTGATTTCTTATATCAATTTGATTTAAAATAATGTATGAAAGTGCACTGTTTTATGCGTAATTGTAGCTAACTATTATAGAAACTTTTGAAAAATGATGTGTGTGTGTGTGGGGGGTTATAAAAGTGCAGTTCAATATGGAGTATAGTAAAAATGTTATTTCTATTTAGATTAATGTCGTTGATGAATGATTCATATCTAAATTACTATTAGTTCAAAAAAACTAAATGTTTAGTTATATTGATATTAGATAATTTTTTTATTTAAACTGACAACTAAGGTTGATTTCATTGACGGAATATTACATCCGAAAACAATAGTAACACATTAAAAACAATGCACAATTCGAAATTTGTCTTCTAAATTAGTTATCAGATAATATGTGAGAGAAAAATAAATTTGAAAGAGAAAATTAAATAAGAGGAAGTCTCTAAGATCAAATTATTCTAGACTTCTAGTTTTGTGGGAGTTACTCGCGTATTAATTAATTAATTTATTAATTAATTAATTAATTTTTGTGATCTGATTGTGAAATTCAGTAGCGGATTTATGGATTACGTCCTATTATGGTATTTTTTGATGAGTTTTTTGCTCTAAATAGGATCAAAATATTGCTTAAATTCTTAAATAGGACTTATGTACCAATTTTACCCCTCTATTTAATTCAATCGTGCTTTACCCTTCTCTGTTGTTCTGCTCATACATGCGTTAGCATATCTGCAACAGTGAGTGCGATTTCAATGGTGACGAACATAGGCAAGCAACAGTCAGCAGCGGCGAATGGCGGAAGTGTGGCGACGAGCGACGAGCGGTGAAGGAGCGTCGACGAGAGGCAGCGAGCGTTGGGCAATGGCCGGCGACGAGCTTTAGTTTAGATCTGATTGTGAAATTTAGTAGCGGATTTATGATTTACATTTTGGGTATTCATTTTCTATACAATTAAAACTTCAAAGAACCATAAATAATTTCACAAAATTTATACGGAGTACATGTATAATTACTTGTTTCTCAAAATTTTAAGGGTTCATGTGAACACTTTTGATCAAAAGTGGTTTCGCCACTGAAATTGAGGCTCGTTGTTCTACTTCTCCCAGTCTCTTCATCTCGAAGCGAGCATGCATTCTTTTTCGTCTTCCTCAATCCCTCCTCTCTCTTTTGTTTCTCTCGTTCTCCCTCTTCGTCAGTCCATATGCACTTGAGGATGGCGAGTACTTAATGTTCATCTTCTTCAACTGCTTTGATTTTTTTTCAGAAATGTCAAAATTTATTTAAAAATGCTATGCAGATGGTATTTTTATTCTTCAAAAATGTCATCTTTTCCTTTGAAAATGTCATTAACATGACATTCTAGATACATGTTGACATTCTGATAAAAATGTTGGCATCATCGGCGGCGATGGCAAGATCTGTAGTGGCGGAGGCCGGATCTACGGTGGCGGCTGGATCTGCACCGATGGCAGCCAGATGTGCAGCGGCGGCTCTGGCAGCCTAAGACCGGTGACCAGCGGAAATCCGGTGTCCTGTCGGCAGCATTATGTTTTGCCAAGGTTTAGGGATATTTTTGTCCATCTCGAAATAATAACTCCTATTTGGAATTTTTTTTTTTATTTACTCCTATTTTAACAATTAAGGATTTAATTACTTCTACTTACGGAATAACCCCTTTTGTGATCCAATGGTAGTGTAAGTGTGTAAAATCTATTACAACTTTACCCCCACACTAAGTCTACACTTAGATCATCATCATCATCATCATCATCATCATCATCATCATCATTCATTTGTACAGGAAGTAACTTAATTACTCATATTTACACTCCTCCTGGTATAGGGGAATACCATGAGTCGGTGGTATTCATCTGGTGGGAAGAGTGCGCCACAAGGGATAGGTCTTGTGTTCAGCTCCAAACAAAGACCTGAACTGGAACTCCACTCTCTTTGCACCAGTCTGTGATCAAAAGCTCAATTTATATCATCCTGGTTAATTGTTCAGCTAGTTCTGTGAAGACCTCAGCAATGGGATTAATCCTTTTTAGGGGAATACCATGCATACGAATATCGATCCCACTGTATAATAGTTGTCATATTTGCATTTAATAAAAGGGAAAAAATAAATATCCCAAACTTCGAAATAGTGTGAGATAAGTACTCCAAACTTACACATATACCAGAGTAATATTTTGGAAAAATGGTCAAATAAGCTCTTCTACTATTTTCAATCTGTCACTTAAGTCCTTGTACTAAAAAAGTATCATATAAGTATGTTACTTTTAAAATATAATCAACCAAGCGCTTTAACCTGCTATAGCAAGTTATTTTTTTTAAAAATTATGAATATTGATAAATCTTACAAAAATTCATATAAATTTGAACAAATTATCTAATAATAATATAAAAAATAAAAAACCTTTTAAATAAATGTAGAATATACAAATATTTTTAAAAATTTAAAAATATTGACTTCGATATTCTAAATGTAGAATTTTTAAGTATTAAAAACCTGGTATTACAGGTCAAAAACTAATTAAATGGTCAAATTGACCCATTTTGTAAAGTAGGCGTAGTTATTTAATACTTTTTTAGTACAGAGGCTGAAGTGACGGTTTGAAAATAGTACAAGTACTTATTCGAACCTTTTTCCATCCTAATATTTATTCACAAACTCTATATAAAAAGGTATGTTAGTACCTTGATCATATATTTTTTCACAAATGTAATTTTATAGTATTAAGTACATAAGTTAAAATATACAAAACATTATATTTATGAGTGCAATTAAAATTAAATTGTACTGGATGTAATATTATGTATTTCACAAATGAAATTTTAGAATGTTAATTGCATTCGAACAAACCTTAGAGTACTTTAAATTATACTCGTATATATTTTTTTATAATTATGTAATTCAAATAATTTTGTATTTGTAAAAAAGCATACAATTATAGTGCGAAAATAACTCTATATAAAATGCACGGTATATATATTACATATACAAGTTTGAAATATTTATCTCACACCCCATTGAAGTATGGAGTATTTAAAAAATTCTCCCTTAATAATAATAATAATAATAATAAGACAAGCTAAAAACCCGAAAAGAATAATATGTTCAGCTTGATGTGAATTACAAATTAAAGAAAACCATTTCACAACAAACAAGCAGTTTGGCTAAATATAACATGCAATTCATATGTACAGGTATGATACATACTAGAATACTAGATGCACATTTAAATGCCGATTTTTTTAATCTATATGCAAAATAAAACGAAAGCAGCGTGTGAGACTGCGTAAGAAACCTATTCAGGCAATCAAAGAAAACCCTGCCTCAACGAAGAACAAATGAGAGCGCAACCTCAAGTCTAATAAATTACTACAATGATAAAGCTTCGCAATCAAGGCTCTGCTTGCTTATATATATATCTACCTATCTATATCTATCTACAAAGAAGCACTACGATCTGTAGAGTTCTTAGTTGACGAAGAACATCCTCTCTCGTATTGTGACTTATGGATAGAGATGTGTTTGTTGCATATTGCTAAGACACCATTACGAATTTCTCGTGGGAGTTCCTCCACCACACCTGAGATAGCCATTTCATGTTTGTTTCTCAGTTCATCGAGCTCGTTTTGCTGTTTAAACATGAGCTGCTCGAGTTTTTCTACAATTCTTTGTGTGTGCAGCAATTGATTAGGCTCATTTGGGATGAGGCTCAGGTCAACGTTGGGATTATCAGCAGCCTTGGTTTCTTCTCTTGAAATCCTTGGTGGCTTCTCTTTTTCGTCGGTCCAGCTGGCTTCCATGTTTGGTGAATCGGGATGTGGTGGCCTCAAAGGCGAGTTTGCGGGACTGGTTTTTGGTGAATCGGACCAATACTTGCGGCCCGAAGGGAGCTTTTCCAATACAAGACCTCCGGAGATGATGCACTCAACAACTGCCGAAGGGGATGACGATGATGATGAGTCATCATGGCTGCCGTCGACATCAGAACTCGGATTCACTACTGCTGGCCTTTCTTCAACAGGTGCCCAATCTGGAATGTAAGACCTGATTTCAGCATCAATCATTGCAGCAATAGCCGAAACGTCTTGGTCAGTCAAGTCAAGTTCCTCAACCATTTCACTGGCAACAGCGTTTGCAGTGTCAACTTGGATATCGAATGGGAAATGAATATTCCGAATATGACCTGCATGCATCAACCAAATGAGCTGAAAAGTGAAAATCTAATAGCTAGAAGCTTGAAACTTAATGGTTATGAGTTTGGTTAGAATGTTAGTTAACATAAGGTAGCTAATATCCCTGTGTGGGCGGTGACAGAGAAAGATATACATAGGGTGCGATTCAAATAAAATAAAAAGTGGTTCTCGCTAAAAGTACTAACAAATGTACTTTTGGATCAATTTGATGCACTAATCTACATACATTAAGCACTACTTTGTGGTACTGAAAAAAATTGGTTTATTTTCAAAAACACCACCACGTTTTTATCTTTTTTTTATACATTAAGCACTACTTTGTGATACCACCCACCACTGGATCTCAAATTCGATGCACCATATTTGTTTTCATTGAAATGACTTCTTTTATTTGAACATATAAATTAAAAGGGTGTTTCTATAAGAGAATAGGGTCATTGATGGAAAAATTAAATAGAAAGCCAGTAGCTTATTTCTCAATTGCTATAGGTGATAAGCCAGTTCTTTCTTTGTAAGAGAATAGGTTCATTTATAAAAAAAGGAAAATAACTTTAAATAATATCAACTATCTTCCACGTACCAAGAATAATACGTAATTTAGAAATAACTTTTAATAATACCAACTATTGGAATATATATCAAAAGTAATATAAAGCAAATGTTCACTAAAAATTCAGTCATTTAACTCATAAAAACTAATATCAAAATATCAAATAAGTGACCGTATTTACAAATATCATTTATTTGATGGTTTAATATTAGTTTTTGATGTCTTAAATGACCGGATTTCTTGTAGAAAAGTGACTCCATATTATTTTTGTTCTACATTCAGATAGTTGGCATTATAAAAAGTTATTTCTAATGTACATATTATTCTTGATTCATGAAAGATAGTTGGTATTATTTAAAGTAATTTTCCCATAAAAAAAATAAGTAGAAAAGCAAGTAGCTTATTTCTCAAATGCTATAGGTTTCAAATAATAACTTATTTTAAGCTCTTGTTTTATTTCATCCCAAACAGAACTATTAGTTTTTTCTTTAAATAGATGCATAATACGTCATCATCATCATCATCATAATAGTATTTTCATTACCCCATTACCCCAGATACATAATACATTATAAGCTCCAAAAAAGGCTCTACAAAGCATACACTAAATTTTTATTATATTCTTAAGATTTAATACCTGATTGTTCCTTTGACATTAAATTATTACTCAAGTTGGTCCTCACCTTTGATTTGGACTCAATTTGGTCCGTGACTGCAATTTTGATCAAATTAGTCCTCATGCACGGTTTCCTCCAGTAAAGAAGGGTATTTTCATATGCTGAGCACTAAATTGGGTCCAAATTGCATAGTTGAGTGCCAATGTGGATCTACATTTAGTGGGACAAAAATGTACCTGATGAATCAGCAATCCGTAGTTTCAAGAAAATTGTATTCATGTCCTTCCTTTGTCCCTGCACTGTAAAGTCCCGGCTGCCCTCGGGCAGTAGAAGTTCTCCCGCCTTTGAACTGTTGGGTTCATAAGCGTGATGACTGCTATCTGCAAATATATCATCAATTTTAGAAATTATTATGAAGAACAACCTTCTATGAACATAATAACAATACTCCCTCCGTCCCATAACATTCTTCCCAATTTAATTTGGCACGGTTATTAAGAAAGTGGGAATGAAGTCGATATGTATGGTTGTGGTTGATTAAGAAACAGGTAAATGAATGATGGCCACATAAATCTTTCCATAAAGGGAAATAGGAAGACTTTTTTGGGACATCCTAAAATGGTAAGTGGGAAGAATTTTATGGGACGAAGGGAGTAACCAAAAAAAGAAAATCCAGTAGATGATAGAAAACACGCCTGGATGTGGAAGAATGGATGTGCGAGCTAAGCTCCCGGAATCATCATCTGACATGAGAAAAGGATCCATTAACAGTTCCTTGGCAGACAAGCGTTCAGAGGCTTTTGCAATACACTTTTCGATAAATTCTTTTACTCCAGGATTCTTCACCTTTGCTAATGATGCTGGCTTGATTCCCTTCCATACCAGAAGAAAGAATCACCAAAATCATTTGTCGTTGAAGTAAAACATTCAAAGTTATATATTAACAGTACACTCAATAGAAAACAACGCTAGAAAGGACTTGTTCTTTTCACCAGAAAAAATATGTGTTGCGATCTGAAATTTTTAGAAACTGGTCTCGTGTGAATGTTTTTGGTATGGTCTGCTCGGATTATATTTGATCGGTTCATATCAGAATGTTTTTAATCTGGTCTAACTTTATTACTGTTATGAATCTTTCTGGTCCAATCGGATCTGATTTGAATATTTGATAACAAAATGTGGTAAGGGACTCGGTACAAGTTCTGGTCCATGGCCGTTGATGATGAAAAGAGAAGGATTTGATGCCAAGGTGTTAAGAGTTCTAAACTAATACAAACTCAGAAACAAGATGTTGACTGAAATGTGGAAAGCTAAATAATAGGAAGTAAGGAAACAACCGAGATAAGGAATGCTTGTTAAATAGAAACAGCACTCATAACCTTGAACCAGTTGATATGGGTTTTCACCATTTCCATTGTGAAAAGCCCACTGCCTTGTATTTTAATTTCCTACCTGTAGTCACATAGCTGTTGCTACACGTGAGAGGTGATTTGGAATATTTTTTGGTTCAAAATTCAAATGTGCAAAAAATTAAAGAGAAAATTACTAGGAGTATGACTAAAAGAAGTGGCGATTCCAAAAATACGACTAACCAGTTTTTATTCCTATATTAATGGTAATTTGCATGTATTTTACGTGTTTTGATGCTACCTTTTCTTCCTCCAAATTAATTAATAATTATTACTCATATACATACATGTTTAAGTTTGTTAGTCATATATTAGGAATCTATGAATATCTTAGTCACATATAGATACATTTCTCAAAATTAAAACAACATGATTAAATTTTGTAATTCATTGTGAAAGCATTCTATCATTCTATGCAAAATTTGTTATTTTTACTCCTGCTAAACTACTTTTTAACATTGGAGTATAGAACCTCTAATTGTAATTTATAAGGGTGTACAGATGCCAAACCTCCAACAACTTAAGGTTCTGGGAGAAGGGATTAATATAGGCCATCTTTCCTTTACTATTCGCGAAAAGGCGGACACAAAAGATTCATACTCTCTCCGTCCCATAAAATTCTTCCCACTTACCTGTTTGGGATGTCCCAAAAAAATCTTCCCATTTCCCATTTTGGAAAGTATTGTGTGGCTAACATTCATTTACCTTTTTCTTACTCAACCACAGGTCCACAACCATACATTTCCACTTTATTCCCACTTTCTTAAACTCCGATCAAAGTCAAACCAGAAAGAATTTTATGGGACGGAGGGAGTATATGAATGGCAAGAAAAAAGAATAAAATGGATTTTCTGTCTGCCAAAATGTCAATTAAAGGCTGCTTTTGGTTGACATAATAGGCTTATTCTGATCAGAAAAATAAGTTTTTTTATTTTTATTTACTTCAATACAATTAAGAAGATTCAGCAAATTCAGGAAAGGGGAGCCTTGGTGCACCAGTTAAGGTTTTGCCTTGTGACCCAGAGGTCATGGGTTCAAGTATTGGGAACGGCCTCTTATCAAAATGACAAGGGAAGGCTTGCCCCTTATAAACTCTTGTGGTGGGACACTTGCGGCTCTATATTCACCAAATTCAACCAGATAACCAGGGCACTAAATGTATCAAGTTGACTCATTTAGGAAGAATGTGAAAACAGAGTAAAATAGTATTTGAAAATCAAAGAACTATAGATTCGCAACAAGAAGTTTAAAATCATGAATAATGTTTTACAAAACAATATAATACTACCTCCGTCCCACTAACATTGGGACGGAAGAAGGTGACACGATTTTTAAGAAAAGTGAGCTTATGTGGTTGATATTGAATTAAAAAAGTAAAAATAAAGTAAGAATGATTTAGAGCCACACAAACTTTACCAAATTTGGTATGGGACAATCTTAGTGGGACTTCCGGAAAAGGTAAAATGAGACAATCTTAGCGGGACGGAGGGAGTAAATGCTAACAGTCTAGTGATAGTATGGCAAATTTAACGGCTATCTTTTATCCTAAACTCCATTTTCCACTTTCAGTATTATTAAAAAAAATGCGAGATAGACCCTCATACTATTTCAAACCAACCTACACCCCTATACTTAAAAAAAAGTCATGTAAACACACTTACTTTAAAAAAAATAGTCAATCCCCAGCAGAATTGGACCTTCTATTGCTGGTAACTTTTTAAAAAACTTGGTCACAAATCACAATTGATTAAAAGAAATTAGAGAGAATGCGTACAATCTAGAAATATATGGAAGTAAAAATGTAAAACTAATGTTAAAATGTCAAAATCTATAAGTAATACGAAGGGTTCAGGTGATGGATTTAAAATAATAAAAGGGTCAAATTGGTCCTTTTCCCAAAAAATGCCCCTTTTTAAGCTTCATGTTCATAGTTGAGAAATGAAGCAGCCAATGAAGTAAAGGTAAAGAATATATATAGGGAAAACATCACATGAGAAGTGTGTCTTCGGCTTAAAATTGCAAAGTTTTAACTAATAGAATCAATAAGGTAACTTATAATAAACACATTATAACTTATAGCTCAACAACTTTAAATAAAAAATAGGAAAAATTGATAGTAATAAATAATAATCCCAACTATTGGCGGTCCGCTCATAATAATCCCAACTATCGATTATTTCAGAATAATCCCAACTTTAGGGACCTTCCGCCAATAATGGTCCCTATAAATAAATTCTTGTAGTTTCTAAAATGGATGAGAAGAGATATAACAAGTAATCCCTATAAATAATCCTAACTTTTATTTTATACGCTTAATTTCTATTTAAAATTCACTTGTTATAGGAGGTGATATCTGGTCATGGACCATTATTGACGGATGGTCTATATAGTTGGGATTATTGTCAGCGGACGGGCAATAGTTGGGATTATTATTTTCAATTTTTCCTAAAAAATACAGTTGCATAGTGATTAATTGTGGAAGTATGAGACAAGTATGAAATTGCAATTAAAACAAGTAGTAGCACTTGATACTCTATGATTTTTATATTTTATTGACCCATAAGTGCATTCATGACACTTGTTTTCTGTTTAACTATTAATTCGTAAATTTAACTTAGAAATCCAAATATATAACTTTTATCAAAAGAATAACTTCATGTGATAAATTGTAAGTATATGATAAGTATGAGACTACCATGAAAACAACAAATAACATTTGATATCCTATGCTTTTTATTTTTAGCGAGTCATAAATGCATTTAAAACACTTTTTTCTAATTAACTATTAATTCGTAAAATGTAACTTATAAAGCTTTATACGATAGTATATAACTTTTTATAAATTACTTCACAGTTTTCAGCCAAAGGCACATTATGTGTGTGTGAAAGAAGCAATTAAGAGAAGGTTGGATCTATAGACATTAAAAGAACAGTTTTTGAATGCTTACTGCTGTCACTTTCTTGAATATTTGAGCAGCATTGGCACATTCAACATATGGATACTCAAAAGTCACCAGCTCCAACAAGCACATACCAAAGGCGTATATGTCTACAAGTTCATTATATTCCTCCTCATAGAGTTCTGGAGCCATGAACTCCGGTGTGCCTAATATACAACAGTATCATGTGTTTTCATTAAACTCAATTAATTAGAAGAAAACACAAGTCTATGTTTGCATGACCATTTCAGCTTCAAATGAGCTGAAATTTGACCATGCAGAAAAGTTAATTCACATATAGCCTTGTTAGGGTGTGAAGAGCTGAACTTTAGTAGAATCTAAAATTAATCAGCTGATTTAAAGCAAGCTTGTATCAACTTTACCCTCCTGCTATTCAAATATTATCTTATTATCTTATTTCTATTAAAACATTTATTTTTATGGTAATTTTACATTTTCAGTCGCTATTTCAGCTGTGTCAAATGAGACAATACAATTGAGTTTTATTCGGCTACAACTTCAGTTTTCAGCAATTTTTATCCAGCTCCAAAAATAATAATCTCTAAATCAGACAATACAATTGAGTTTCAGTTCGTTCTTCCAAACATAGCCTTAGCAAAATCGTGAAATGATATATGTAGATGAAATTATGGAATGGTGCTCTTGCTACCCTATTAGTTGAGACATGAGAGCCCAGGAGTAACGTTATGGCCATGGGTCTAAATATGACCATTTTTATTAAAAAAGTTTAATGATATAAAAGAGAACGAACGAACGAACGAACGAACGAACGAACGAACGAACGAACGAACGAACGAACGAACGAACGAACGAACGAACGAACGAACGAACGAACGAACGAACGAACGAACGAACGAACGAACGAACGAACGAACGAACGAACGAACGAACGAACGAACGAACGAACGAACGAATAAATAAATAAATAAATAAATAAATAAAAATAATGTGGACTAAATGGTATTCTGCATCTCCTAATCTTGGTAAGGTTGCTAAGCTTGTTATTTAATTGTAAGTTGCCCTAAATAGAATTAAAAACAATGTAAAATTCCAAAATTGAAGTACCACATTTTCCCCTAAAATAGTACGTAGTACATAGTACTTACTAGCATGTTTGGAAAATACTGCCGTGTATGGAACTAAAACTGTCATATTCATGTATGGTAATGCCAACATATGAAATAATGAACTCTCATTTCGGGAAAAAATATAGTGCTCCTATTTTTGAAAATCTACATTGTTTTTTACTCCTATTTTGGAAAATTTTCCTTATTTAATAGACTAAGCTTCCCAGAAAGATGGGTGTAATCGTTTGGTCGCCATTTTCTAGGTTTATTCAACAAAGTTTACTGATTTCTTTAGACTAAGTTTGGAATGTGGAAAATGGTTGAGAATGGGGGAAGGCTAAGGAACTCATTTTATTGTTTGGTTTTATATTGGAACATATGAATGAAAAAAATTGAGTGAACACTCCGAATTTACATAAAAAATATTTTTAGGCTCTATATGATAAAAGAATGTGAATAAAATGAGTTTGAAGAAATTTTAATTCACTTATTAAATTGGAACTAAATCTTCGCTTGCTCCCCAATTTTATTTAAATTCAAATTTCTGCTCTACTATCATTTAAGTTTTCTTTTCCTAGCATTTTTCTAGGTTCTTTACAAACCCTGAAAGAAAGTAAAGAATATAAATAACAATAACCAAAAGAACAGAACTTTAAAACCTCACCAATGACACTATGAGCTGAACGAGCTTTGCGAAGAATGGCAGCCAGTCCTAAGTCACCAATTTTTACTTCACCTTGGTTACCATTTACAAAAATATTGTCACACTTAAGATCCCTATGAATAATTGGAGGGTCGTGACTATGAAGGTAGGAAAGCCCCTCTAGTATCTGCCTAGACCAATTCTTCATTGCTCTCACTTCCACCTTCTTATGTTTCTTACGATACCTAAATAACCATTTAGAAAGGAAACTTTCATGTATCAAACATTAGATGCAGAATCAAACTCAGAAAGGTGAAGTAAAAGAAAAGGGTAAAATGCATATTATTCCCCGTATCTTCTGTGTGATTTCCTGAGAACCCTTCAGGCGGTGTAAACTTATATATGTAAAGACTGCAATTAAGACTAAAAGGCGTTAAGAATGCAGTGTCAGCGACCTTGTTCAGTTAGACATTAGAAGAAGCTAATGTAAAGACTAACTTTTGCGGTTAGAGTTTTCAGATTACTGAGATAATATTATATTACCGCCACATGGGAAATGTGAGAAAGTTGGAGGTAATGCAATTACATTGGGCTTCTATGTTATTGTAAGATTACCTTGGTCATATTTCATTTCTACACTTAAATCAAGTATTGTAGTATTTGCATTGAAATAAATTACCACCACCACCCCCCCCCCCCCGTTAAAACTATTTTTTTCCACCATTCTGTCTCAAACTAATTGACATTTTAGAATTCAATACACATTTTGTACTAATAGCCCAAAACTGTCCGTATTAATTCTTCTCACATGAAATGTGATTGTTGTTTGAAAATTAGATGCATTTTTATTTTGGCCACACCGTGGAGACGGTGGAGTCCTATGGATTTAATATTGGCCTTTTATATGGATAGAGGGGCCATTTTTTAATGTTCTTTAATATCTGTGCTCTTTTCTAAAACGTCAATTATTTTAGGACGGAAGAAGGACTACATTTTTTATCATCCCAAACGAAGACATCAGGTAATCTAACATTAATGTAATCTTATATGAGTATATGGCAAAGGTAAATCTACATTCATGTAATCTTATATCAACTTTCCCGTAATCTTACATAACCTAAAGGAACATCCCCAAAAGAGCAATTTACATTTTGAAAAATATTATGAAGGGACAATTTGCAAGGTTTGAAAAAACCAGAAGATTACAACCATGGGTTTTAAGCTGTGGGGATGTCAATCAGTGTAACCTTTAGAGTTACACATGAATTAAGCAATAAGTACTAAAAGTGCCATTTCAACTTACTGCCTTAGAGTTCCTGAAGTGAATATTTCAGTAATAAAGTTAATGTTCTCATTCTTGGTGTCAACCCATGAGTTGTAGAACTTGATAATGTTCTTGTGCTTGAGAGTTTTCAACAAATGGACTTCAGAATAAAGACGCTCCAAGTCCACAGAATTCCTCAGTAAATCTGTGACCTTAACCTGATTCCAAGCAACCTCAATTCCCTCCCATTCATCAAACGCTCTATATCTATATATCCCCCATAAATCAAGTCAAGGATTATCAACATTGCATGTTCAAGTGTGCAAACACAATAAAGTGGAATAGCAAAAGTAGTTCCTTTTATCTATGCACAAGTCATATAAACTTGCAAAAAGGATACACTTTCTTGAAAGCTCCTTTTCCTAGAACCTCTTTGTACTGCAATTTGCAACAATGTACTCAGATCACTGAAAAATATGGGTTATTTACAGTTCATAAAGCAAATAGCCAAATATACTCCCAACCTTTTTCCATTACATAAAAAACAAATCCGTGATCATACTGAAATTGCCATCTCAATCAAAAGTGGATCCTTGTTCATTTAAAACAGTATTACTACTATGAGGAGATTAAGGAACGGTTTTAGATGTCTATAATAATGGAATAAAACGCCAACATAAAGTGTTGTGTTAATCATTTTGAAATAGCAAATAAAGAAGAAGTTGCAGGGGCATTGAAAGAAAAAACTAGAAGCAGATTACTAACCCGACCATAGCGACCGGAAGGATCAACCTCAATGAACTCGGCTTCGGATTCAGAATCTTCCGGGTCAACCTCCGACCCTGAATCCTGGGGCATTCTTTCTATCTTCTCCAACTAAATATTCAATCAAAATCAGATCATCCGATCGAAATTCGAAACCTCTCTTCCACTTCTTACCGTAATCTAGATCAGTGCAATAAATTCTCCAGCAAAAAAACGAAAAAGTATAGGGATATATGAACAATTAAACTGAAACTCCTGGATTCGGGAACTGGATTTTCAAATCCAGACAATCCGAGCAAAATATACCTCACGCGTGTATGCATGCGTGATTTTAGTGAGCAAATTATACATGCATGTTTGTATGTAATATAAAGAATCTAATTTGATTTGACCCGATCAGTAGTGATCTGAGAAGGAAGGTGAAGGAGAAACGCATGAGAAGAAAAGATATGAGGCGGGTGTAAAGGCCGTGGGTAGTTTGGTAATTCGGACATCATATGGACATCATTGGTAGTTGGGTTTGTCTGTCACCAAATAGAGAGCAACAGCCTCTTTCTCTCGGTGCGTCGACAACCAAAAATTTCAATGTCAACCACTTCCTTCAAAACACTTCAAACTATATCCTACTACATCATCAGCATGGTTATTACCGAAATATTTGTAGGGTTTAATGCACTAAACTCCTCTAGAGAAATTCGGCGCATTAGCCCCTTTTTATTTAAAAAATGCATTAAACCCTCTTGTGTTTTAATTAATTATACGCAAAATTCCTTATATAAACAAATCCAATAGTCAAATAAAAGAAAAATGATTAGCATTTATGTATGATTTAGAGATTTTGACATATTTACTTGCATATAAATCAGAATATTAGAAAAAGTTATTTTCAAATCGTTAAATTTATTCATAAAAGGGGTTTTATGCATGATTAATTAAAACACAGGGGGTTTGACACATTTTTCAAATCACATGGGTTAATGCACTGAATTTCTATATCACGAGGGGGTTTGGTGTATTAAACCCGAAATTTGCAATCTACTCCGATTTGGTCTGTTTAAGTCTGTTCTGCTCTAGTCTGAATTGATCTGGTGTGGTTTGATAAATGTCTGGTCTCTGTGTATTTTATAACTGTCCAAATCTGATCTGGTTTGATCTATTTTAATCTGGTCTGATTTGTTTAATTCTGTTTTGATCTGACTTGAGATTTAAAGCAGTCCAAAAGAAAACATCCTTATAATATATTGGAACTTTGAACCTGTGAACAAAACTCTCCCCACTCCCTGGCGCATGTCTTTTTGCTTTTTTTTGCGTTTTTTTCTTTACATTCTTTTTCATTATATTTTTTTATTTTTTCTATTTTTAATTTTAAGATAAATATTTACTAATTTGATAGATTTTGTGTGTTAATTATTTTAATATTGTATTGTTGGGATATATTATCCTGATAGACTACTGTTCATGATCCTAAAGCATTACCCTAATACGAAGCTCGATCAGCAAGACTCATTGCAGTCCATCCCGCCCAGTTCGACCCATCCGGTCCATTTTGGCCCTTTTGGCCCATTAGGGTAGATCTTATCCCCCTTTATTATCTATAAATAAGAGGAGTTCCCTCCATTTTAGGGATCCTTTTTTCCCTTCTTCTCCACATTCTTCTCTCTAGAATAAACTCCCTTAAACACCATCAATGGAAGCTTGTGCAATGTAACAATGATGATGATAATACCAATAAAATGAGGGTGGCTTGGACATTAGACCAAAAAGTGTTGTGACATTCTCCGAAAGTGCATCAGATAAGGTTTATTTGAAAGTGCATTAGATAGAGTTAGTGTGCATAAATTGACAGTTTAGACTGCTAAGATCAATTCTTATTTTACACGTTAAAACTTGTGTGTGTGTGTGTTAGGTCCCCTAGCAATTGATGATTAATGTAATAGTTTTGATGATGACACCCCTTTTTATTATCCATGTATTAGACTAGTTTACTAGTTTTGTTCTACTTTGTTTATTTGTAATGTGCTCCATATTTAGTGGTAAAATACTCATTAAAAGCAAAGAGTACTAAAAGAGAAGTAAATGTACCATAAAACAAAAAAAAGATCAAAAAGAAAATGTACGAAAAGAGTTAACTGGTATACATTGTTAGGAATGAGCTAGCTGGAAAACACCAGAAATCAGCAGCCAGCTGAAAATGCTTGGCAACCAGCTGAATACTGGGTTTCAGTTAAACTCACCCGAAATCCAATTCTCTCTTCTCTTAGCACAAAACACTTAGACAAAAGACCAACTTGCAGTCAAAATAACAATTGATGAAAAGAAAATTTATAAGAGATTTTAATCACATTATAAATTTCTTATAAATTTATTTTACTAAAAGCAAGTGTTCGTTATTTTGTAAGGAAGCATTGAAATATCAATCAGCTTTATACTAGTTTCTACGCGTAAGAAAATGAAGATAATAAATCTTTTATCTTGCATTGAAATGTGTAAACAAGTTGAGCTGAAGATTGTTGATCCGTGTCACTACGTGACAAAGACAAATCATGTTGCCTCAGTCAAGTGGAACAAAGCAAGTAGATCAAACTACAGTCAAGATTCATTTCCTCAACCAACGGTGGAGATGCAATGATCAAGTCTATAAATACAGAAGGAGTGTGGGATTACCAAGTGTGGTAAAACGAGAGGCCAAGTGGATAGAAGAAAATCATACTCTACACGAAGAAATCCAACCAACTGATTTCCCTGCTACACTTCGGCTGTCACCCCACTCGTCTAATGCTCTTAGACTAGCTATAATTCAAACACATCCATAGAGCTTAGTTTAGTTGGTAGTTTAGCAATACACCCATATATTCTAGACTAGTGTTAGACATTCTGGAGGGCTTTGTGATCAAATCCAGAAGGTGAGAAAGGGTAAAGACATGAGTAGCTCTTGGCGAGTCAATGCCATTAGTAAAAAACCTTGGGAGGACTAAGTAGCTTGGAACGGTGTTTAAGTTCCTTATGAAACACCTCACAATCTACGCCTGGGCCAAGGGTAGATTGGGACACTAAATGTAATGGGATATTCATTTAGTGGAAATCCATCTGAAATAGGTTGGGACTGGATGTAGGAGGATTACACCACCTCTGAACCAGGATATATCTTATGTCACCTTTTACATTCTGCTCCTAACACATATTCAGTACTCACTCACCTTCACAACTCCACGGAAAATCAGCTTGCTCACTAAAACTGTCCAGTGAACTTTACCAATTCACTGTGAGTCATCTCCTTGTTATCTGTTCTTCAAAGTGACCTATTTCCATTGGTACAAATCCTTCATACTCATGTGTTAGACAAGTTTTAAAGCCAGCCAATAAGTTAGAGTATAGTTCATTGTTATACCTTAACTAAAACAAACAGAAATACTATTTCAGCAGCCTGCTCCTAAGGATTGGCAGTCAGCTCCGAAACTGACTGGCAGCCATCTCCTTCAGGATTTCGGCAGCCTGCTCTTGGAGTCATCTGTTTCTGACAAACACATTTGTACCATATTTAGTCCATCCCTCTTACAACTAAAAGTGTCATAACCTTTGTTTATATATAGTGTAACCCTTCTGAGGTCAAGACTTCTATTGCATGTTTCAATATCTCCCAAAAGATGTTGAAACCTATCAAGATAGAGAAAAAGGGGTTGAGAACCGAAAATATTTAAAAGTCTATTCACCTCCCTCTAGACTTTGACCTCACTTGGAACTCAGTTGGTATCTAGAGCACTCATCAATATATGTATATATGTATATATATAGGGAACTCTTCCGGTAAGGTATACCTTACCAGAGCCGCCGTGCGGCCTCCCCGTTTTGAGGGCCTTTCCGGTGGAATTTTTCGATGAAATTTTTTGAGCATGTTCTTCATCAAGTCTAATACACCCATACCAATTGTCAGCAAAAAATTCAATCGGGAAAGCAGTCAAATGATTTTTGGAAGATAATTGCACCCTTTATATACATATAAAACGCAGTTATCTTCCAAAAATTGTTTGACTGCCTTCCCGATTGAATTTTTTGCTGAAATTTGGTATGGATGTACTAGACTTGATGAAGAACATGCTCAAAAAATTTCATCGAAAAATTCCATCGGGAAAGCCCTCAAAACGTGGAGGCCGCACGGCGGCTCCGGTAAGGTATACCTTACCGGAAGTTTTTCCTATATATATATATATATATATGGAGTGGTTCCAATGAGAACCATGTTTAACGTGAGAACGTGAGAACAATGCACTTTTAACACATTTCGGTGCACTATGAGGCTCATCTATTGCACTTTTTAAATTTTGATCAAAACATGCTAATATCAAATAAATGTGGTGGCAGATTTCTAAATATTTCGTCAACGTGAAAATGTGCAACATATACATGATATAATGCATCACATCTGCTTAAAAGTGGAGTTCTCATGTTCTCACGTTAAGCATGGTTCTCATTTGAACCTAAATCTATATAATGGATGGTTCAAATAAAAAGGAGTCTTAAAGTGTAAAGTGACAATTAATCTGAGCCATCCAAATTTCCAATCTGATGCACAATAAACATTATCTCATGCACTGTGCATTAAAACTTATCTAACGCACATTTTCGAATGCAAAATTATATAAATGCAAGAGATGCACACCGAATGAGGGATCATGCGAATGCAAAATCCTACTAATGTAAGAGATGCAAAATCATACGCGCATTTCACCTTTTCGTGAACAAGACTAAGTATGATGTGGTTTTGATGCAAAATCCTACGAATGCAAGAGATGGTGTTTATTTCCACCAAACCCTTTATGGTCAGCTCACAGTTCGTCAGTTGAAGACCCTTCTGGACACTTTGAGCGTGCTTCTCAGTCGGCATCTCGGAAGAAGAAGGTGCCATGGAGATCTTTCTACTAAGCTTCCTTTACTGCTCTTGGCATGTGTATTGTTGTGAATTGTGTGAGTTTCCTCTTTGTTATTCCTTATTGTGTGAGTTGGTGTGTTGTTTGATTTTGTTCTCTGTAAAAATGGGTGATTGTGAGTTGGTGTTTGTCCCAGTGGTGTTGAATTATGTGTATTGTTTGTGTAAGATGGTCTGGTATCTTTGTGTGTCCTTGTGTGTATCTGCAGAGGATTTCAGAGTCAGTTTGAACTTCGAATGTGTGATACCCATTTCTGTGATTTTTTGTTATACCTAATAGCAAGTAGCACAAATATTTTATACTATGTTGGGGTATGTGCAAAGTTTCAATCTAAATCTCAGGAAAGTCATCTCACAGCAACCAAGAAAATCCTCAGATATATCAAAGACAATTAGAATGGTGAGCTTTAGTACCCTGCTGAAGGACAATTTGAACTTATTGGCTACTTAGACTCAAACTTTGTTGGATGTAGGATTGATAGATTGCTGGAAAAAGATTAGTAACATGATTAGCAGAACTTTATAGTTACTAGCCTTGTTGAAGCATAATACATAGCAGCAAGCAGCTACTATGCACATATTTTATGCCTGAAACAGCAGCTTAGAGATTATGAAATGCAAGCAAGACATGTGAACAATATGTGAACACAAATGCTCTTGCCATTATTCAAAACCTTCTGTTAACCAAACACATTGACACCCG